GAGATCACGTGATAAGGTTCCTAACTTCGTACGATAGTTCCACTAGATGGTTCTCACACAATTTGGAGTGAGAACTAAGGCTTTTAGATTAGGTAATGCCAGAGAGTACTTTGAGAAGGACCTGACCACGTATCTCTTAGAACATGGCGCAATTCATCAAAGTAGTTGTGCATATACACGCAACAGAATGGAGTTGCTGAGAGGAAAAACAGACACATTGTGGAGGTGGCAAGGAGCCTTATGTCGTGTGCTTCGATTCCTGTGCAGTTCTGGGGAGATGCAGTTTTTACAGTTGTGCATTTGATTAACCGTGTTCCTTCACGGACTTTGGGGTTTAAGGTGCCATTTAGTCTTTTTTTTCCAGATGGGGAGATATTTCATATACCTCTGAGGGTTTTTGGTTGTGTTTCCTTTGTTCACATTCTTGGCCCTCATCGCAAGAAATTGGATCCTAAGGCCAAGAAATGTGTTTTTCTTGGGTATGCTCAGTACCAAAAGGGGTATTGTTGTTATGACCCAGTGTCGAGGAGCAAATTTGTCACTATGGATGTTACCTTCTTTGAATCTACCTTCTTCTCGAGTGGTTCTCCTCGGGGGGGGAGAGTTTTGGGGAGGAGAATTCACAATCTATTCCTCTTCCTATTTCTTTGGTGCCTCCATCAGTTCAGCCAGCACCTCCATCAGTTTAGCCAGCACCTGCACCTCCAGTTTCATTACCTGAGCCACTACGAGCAGCCTCACAGAAATATCAATGCCGGTAGATGATGGTTGACTCCACACATCCTCAACCCACACCACTCTCTATTAGTCCTTCTAAAACTCTAGATTCGGCAGATACAGTTCCAGGTATTCCTCTTGAGCCTGAGCATGTTATGTTTTCTGATGATAATGTTCCTACCCCTAACACCATTGTTGCAACTGATCCCACTGACCTTGATCTTCCCATTGCACTTCGTAAGGGGAAGAGAAGGTGTATAGCCCATTGCATTTCACACCATCTTTCCTACAGTGCCTTATCACCCTCCTACCGTGCATTTCTTTCTTCCATAGATTCTGTGTCTATACCCAAGAATGTTACTAAGGCTCTCTCCAAACCTGAGTGGAAAACAGCCATGCAAGATGAGATGGATGCTTTGGTTAAAAACCAAACTTGGGAAATAGTTGATCTCCCCCCAGACAAGGAGGCAGACGGATGTAGATGGGTATTCACAGTGAAGTATAGGGTCGATGGCAAGATAGAGAGGTACAAGGCAAGGTTGGTAGCAAAAGGGTATACTCAGACCTATGGTGTTGATCATCTGGAAACCTTTGCACCTGTAGCTAAGTTGAGTTCAGTTCGTATCCTTTTATCTCTAGCAGCCACCTATTCATGACCCTTGTTCCAGCTTGATGTCAAAAATGTCTTCCTCAAAGGTGATTTACAAGAGGTATATATGGACATTCCAGTAGACTTTTATAAAAATGTTGGTAAAGGAAAGGTTTGCAAACTCGGAAAATCTTTGTATGGACTGAAATAGTCACCTAGGGGTTGGTTTGACAGGTTCAGAGGAGCACTCATCCATTTTGGATACACACAGACACAGTCTGACCACACCCTCTTTGTGAAGAGGAGAGATGCTCTGGTGTCAATCCTGATTGTGTATGTGGATGATATAGTGGTGACAGGAAATGATTTGGAGGAGATTGATGATCTCAAAAATCATTGCAGCAAGAATTTGAGATCAAAGATCTTGGTGAGCTCAAATACTTCTTRGGGATTGAAGTTGCAAGATCCAAGCATGGGATCTTCATTTCACAGAGAAAGTATGTACTTGACCTACTGCAGAAGACTGAGAAGCTAGGGACCAAACCAGTGTGCTCCTATTGATCCAAATCACTGAATTAATGGTGTGATGGTGAGTTGGTAAAGGATGTGGGGAGATATCAAAGAATGGTGGGCCGATTGCTGTATTTGTGTATGACACAACCAGATATTTCTTATGTTGTCAGTGTTGTGAGCCAGTACAAGCATGCACCTCGGGTTCAGCACTGGGAAGCTATTGAGAGGATACTTGCATATCTGAAAAGGCACCCTGGCAGAGGCATTCTTTTCTCAAATCATGAGAATCTGAAGCTAGAATCCTATACAGATGCAGACTGGGTAGGATGCTTAGATGACAAGAGGTCTACATCAGGAGTGTGTACCTTTGTAGGTGGAAACTTGATCTCCTAGAAGAGTAAGAAGCAAGCGGTTGTGGCAAGGTCAAGTGCAGAGGCTGACTATAGATCCATGGCTCGTGGTGTCTTAGAACTTCTTTGGGTTAGATCTCTTTTGAGTGAGAT